CATTTACATTTACATTTAGTCATTTAGCAGACGCTTTTATCCAAAGCGACTTACAATTGGGGGATACATAAAACTAATAACATAAACCTGGGTAAATGGGCTAATAAAACAATTGTGTAAAACATGTTTTTTTATGTTTATCTTATCACATTAAAGGGATAGTTCACCCAAAAATGAAATTCTTGAGTTTACTCACCCTCAGGTAGTTCCAAACTGAACACAAAAGAAGATATTTTGAAGAATATTGGTAACCAAACAGTTGACGTCGGTAGCTACTGACTTTCATATCATGTAAAAAAAAAAAAAAAAGCTTTAGTAGTAAATAATGACCTTACCAAATTTAGATGCCTCCTTAGTTCCGTTTTCCTATGAAAAGAGAGCAAATGTAAACAGTTTAATACGCACACAATGAATCCTACAATTAACCAATGCATTGATTCTCTCAGTCATACCTGCATATTTCATTTTTTTCCCCCCCATTAGGGCTATTATTGTGTAATCACAGGGAGCAGCATATTTTTTTCCCATTACACTTGTAACTATGTATTATTACGTATTTATTTATTAGATTCTAGCACTTATTCCTTTTCTTTTAGTCATTATCCTGTTAGTCATTATCATATTCCACTGCTACTGGTAACACAATGCAAATAATTTGCCACTGAATTCTATGTGCATCAGCTATTCACTTTCGACCAGTATGCAATCCAGTCACTGGCTACTTGTCCTAGTTTTACTAGTAATTTATTTCTTACTACAAGTGACTATACTACTAGTGACAATAGTTATTAGCAGCTATTTCAGGCTCAACTATTACCTATGAATTATAATCCAATTAACACTAATAAGATTTTTAATCTTAACAAAAAATAAGAAAAACAAATAGGCTAAACCAGTAAAATCGATCGGTATAGACAGGCCTACTAGTCTCATAACGAAGGTATTGGCATATAATAAATAGTCTCTATCGGTAAACTTAAGTAAATAAAAAAATGTCAAACAAATAAAGACTTGGTCATATAACACACATTTTATATTTTATGCAATCTATGTTAAAACGGTTATAACATACTGTAATGTAGTGTTGCCATTAATGAATAGTACATATAAATGAACTCGTATCCATTGCAAAGGTTTCTAAAGCAATGATAAATTTGACGGGGTCGGTGAGCAGTAACGTGATTGTTTGACGCTGACTTACAGTGCAGGTCGGCGGGAACGCGTGATACAGGAGCGTGAACAGGCAGCAGCTGAAGCAGAGGAGCGACTGGATTAACTGGATTAAACACACCTGTCGCCGCAGTGAGTAGTACTTTGTCCTCAAACGGCTCACGGCGGGCTCCATGGGCTCCATTAAAACTGCGTAGACTTTACAGGCTGCCTCTTCGTTTGCCACCTCCATAACGGACAGTTTAAAAGCGCCGCTCCATGTCCTCGAACTCCTCTATATATATGTATATTTCTCCCACGTGTTTTCTTCAACGCCCCAAACAAACAGCCTACTCGTGGAGTTTCGGCGCTATGAAAACACGAGGCTCTCAGTCTCCAGTGTCCAGTGTCGTTTCCTGCTATGCTGCAAGACCTGCTTGACTCCGGGCCAAATTCTTACAGCCATAAACAATTAACAATTAGACATTTCGTCATAGCTAGTAAGTGAGTGTTCTAAGCTGTAAAGCAGTGGTTCTCCACCTTTAATGAGCCAGCAGCCCTCTAGTTATTATCCAGGTCCAACACCCTCACCAAGAATAAAACATTCCTGATGATTTACTCAACCCCATGTCATCCAAGATGTTAATGTCTTTCTGTCTTCAGGAGAAAAGAAATTAAGGTTTTTGAGGAAAACATTCCAGGATTTTTCTCGAGTGGACTTTAATGGTGGTCAATGATGTTGAAGGTCCAAATTACACGTTCAATGCAGCTTCAATGGTCTCTACACGGTCCCAGTCGAGGAATAAGGGGCTTATTTAGCGAAAGGATCGGTAATTTTCTAAAAAAAAATTCAAATTTATATACTTTTTAACCACAAATGCACGTCTTGCACTAGCTCGACTTAACGTAGTCACATTGGAAAGGTCATGCACAGTCAGCTCTTTGTCTGTGTACTCCGGTTCAGAAAGGTAGGGTAATGAGAAGACATGCAAATTAAATGTTTGATAGTAAGAGCTTTATGAAAGTACGGTGACCGAGAAGTGCAAAGCAAATCACAATTCTGAAAA